CTGCGAAGACGTCTCAACGACGTGATCAAATGCAAGAATTAATACTCTCCCCCTCTCTCCCTCTCACAAACACTTTCCAATCGAGTGGGACTTTCTGCCTCTAACCCTCCGCCTCGCCCCCTCCTTGCCCATCGTCAGGTCGCACCTTTGCCCAGTGCCTACGCTCCCCTCCCCCCGACTCGGTGATGTGCGCAGCCACTGTTGTGTAAGTGCAAGTTGTGCATCTTTCTGTGATATTTCCCCCGAAGGGGTTGTTTGGAAGCGGATTTACTGCTGTGAATGACTTATACGGTGGTGGCTGGGGGGAGATGGACGGTGCAGGTAACAGCTGAAACCTTAGTGCGCTGTTCCCTTTCAGCACTGATTCCCCGACTGCACAAACAGCTCAGTGGTTAGAGCACTCGCCTCGCAATCCAGAGGACCCGGGTTCGAATCCCGGGCGGGTCAGGGCGAACGTAGGCAAGTTTCCTTACTCCACACACACACACGCCTCCGTTTACCAGCAGTCAGTAGGAACCCACTCGTTAGTCGATTGGGGGATCACTTTCCAGGGGATAATAATCCCTTCAAAAAAATAATAACAATAATAATGCGGTCACTCAATCCACGACTGTTTGTGTGGGACGCTGCGCTGCGCAATTGGCTGCCGCGTTACGCCCACAAAATATACAGTCACTAACCTTCACCATATATCCCGTGAAGCGCTTCGAGACGTCTCAACGAAGGGATAAGGCGCCGTATCAAATGCAAGGGTTATTATTATTAATATTGAAAGGGGGGGATCTGAGAGGATGCCGGTGTGGAGGGACCAGTTACAGCCGACGGAGACGTGATGTGTAAAGACAGGGCTGATCCGTCTGCGTCAGATTGGGGTTAGAAAGGCAATCGAGATTGTGAATCACCATTTGCTGCCAGTGACAGGAGCTACCTGGCTCTTCCCGGTGTGAAATGGCTCAATTGTGCACAGCCACTCTGTGTGCACCTTACACAGCCTTATTAATCCTACCCGGGAATCGAACCCTTGTCCTCTCTCTCTCTCGCCAGGCGAGCGCTCTAACCGCTGAGCTACAGGGCTCCGATACGTAGCAGGTGACAAACCCTCACAGCCGGGAGGGAGCGGGTTGCCGTAGAGCGATGCTGCGGCAAAAGTGGGCGCAAAGCGGGTCTTGCTCTGGGCTTCCCTCCGTTCACTAATGTGCTACTGACATCAGCTGGCAGCACGTCAGCACTGCAGCCTTTCCACCGGCCCCTCAGAGAGACCCCGAGAGCCGTTCAGTTTTTCGTGCAGCATCTGATCACGCCCTCGAGACGCCTCAAAGCCCACTCACACCATTGGCTGTAAGGTGTAGTGACTGCGTATTGTGCAGCGGCCGGTTATGCACGCAGCGGGTTCTCCTCGCAGCTCAGCCAGGCTCTCCGCACTGTTGGTTGGCACACTCTCCCCCTACAAGGCTTGTGTCGTTCAGTCCGCACTAACTGCCGCTCCCATTCCATCTCCCACTGCATCTGGACCAGTGTCTGCCATCTGCCCAGCTCTTCCCATGGCGTCCGGCCTGGAACAGCCCTCTGCCATCCTCCCCCTGCTGCACCTCACTTCCCTGTACAGTCACCACCCATCGCACTCACTCACCCACCCACCCACCTTAGCATAATCCTAGCATTTGATATAGCACCATGAGGAGCCACACTTTCAGTCACTAAACTTGCCCAACGTCTTGCCCTGCCAGTCCGGGCGTCGAACCCGGGTCCTCTGGCTTGCGAGGTGAGCCCGCTACCCATGAAGCTACAAGCCTTGTCTGCTCTGGCAGGAGTTGGGGCTGCGCTGTGTGTGTAAAGGAATGTCACATGAATGGATTATCTACCGTTTCTGCCGTTTTTGTGCTGAGATCAATCACGCCAGGCTGCCCGCTGGGGACAGTTATTCCCTTTTTAGCACCTTATTGCTTCGCTGGTGTGAATGAGCGATCGCTGTGTTTGCACATTAATATCCCAGCTCGGGTTATTTTAAATAAAAAATTAGTTTATGACAGAAAGGGAAGTTTAAATGGCAGCATTTTGTGTTTTTGTCTTGACGTGCGGAGCTGTGCTGGTGACATGGTCAATATGGAGCTATACAATAAGCCTTAATAATAATAATAATAATAATAATAATCCCTGGACTTGATACAGCGCCTTATCACATCGTTGTGAAGTCTCAAAGCGCTTCTGTCACAGAAAATATACTTAAAGTGTAGTGACTGTGTATCTTGCAGGTGAAATGCGACAGTCAATTGCGCACAGCAGTGTCCCACAAACATACGTGGATTGAGGAACCAAATTATTTTTTGAAGGGATTATTAACCTCCTTGAAAGCGGTCCACCAATCGACTAACAACCGGTGTCCGACATGCTGCGAGATAAACAGAGGTGTGTATGTGGAGTAAGGAAACGTGCCTTGACCTGCCCGGGAATCAAACCCAGGCTCTCCCCACTGAGCTCCAGGACTGCACATTTCCTTACTCCACACACCTGATAATAATCCTCCAAAACAAAACAATAATAAATTGGTCATTTTCGATCTACGACTGTTTGTGGGACATTGCTGTGCGCAATTGGCTGCCGCGTTCGCCCACAAATATACAGTCAATTCACTTTACAGTGTGTTCTGTGAAGCGCTTTGGGACGTCCTCCCGACGTGAAAAGCTCTAACTGGCCCCAAGGTGACGTATTTGGCCACGGAATGTCAGATCGAGTCAGCCCTCTGTGACGGTCTCCAGTCCGGTTCCTGAGCCAGGAGGGTCTGCAGTACCCAGGGCGCTGGTGATGACAGCACAGCCCCAGCTCTGCGTGGGGAGCGCAATATAAATGCAAGTTGTTGTGTTGTTGTTGACTTCAGCCTCTCTGCCCCCACCCTCTGAAACTCTAGCCCACAGTCCCTCCTCCTCGACCGCTTTCTTGCCTCCTGCAAGGCCCGTCTCAAGACCCTCCTCTTTGTCTGTGCCTTCGGTCACCCTCCTAACCCCCACCCTCCCTGCCCTCCACCCCTCCTGATCCCAAACCCCAGCTCGGGTCCAAATCCCTGACCGTCCAGCGCTTTGGGAAGTCCTCCCAACATCGCCGTGTGAATGTAACGTCTTGTTGATATCTTTAAGGTTGGATGAGCCACAGTCCGGGACAGAACGCCTACCTTGACAGAGTAGATCCGGGGTTAGACATGCTGGTTTACTGGTTGACAGACACCACTATAACCTGGTTGCACTCCAGGCAGCAGGCAGCGAGCTTGTGTTGCGGCCAGTCGTGCAGTGGGCGAGCAATGTGGGAGGGAGAGAGGAGAGAGACCTGTTACTCAGCAGTGAGCTGCCAACTTCACTTAACAGCAACGCAGTGCGCTTGTGAATGTCCAGCTGTCTCCTTGCCTCCGTCTCGCACTGTGTTCGGTCACTCATCCGTGGCTCCCTGTGAGCCCTCCTCACTGACACGAACACAATGGCTGCTCCCACTTGTCATGATCGCCCCTCGCGTTTGATACAGCGCCTGATCACATCGTTCGGGCGTCTCAAAGCGCTTCACAGAAATTACTGTAAAGTGAATTGACACAGAGCCGTGGTTTGAGTGACCAAGTTATTGTGCTGAAAGGAATAGTTGAGGGACAGATCGGCCACGATCTAATTAAATGGCGGAACAGTCTCAAAGGGCTGAATGGCCTCCTCCTGTTCCTATGTTCCTAAGGGACTTGGCCTGTAACTCGCGGGCGGGCGAGGAGATTTCCACACTAACCTCTCCTCTGTTCTTCTCTTGCAGACCAACATTCAGTTCCTACAGAACGTACTGAACAACGAGCAGTTTCTGCACGGCATTGTGGACACCCAGTTCATAGACGAGAATCCTGACCTGGTCAACCTGCGGCCGGGACAGAACCGAGCCCAGAAACTGCTCTACTACCTGGGTAAGGCCGCTGGCCCCTTCTTACCTAGTGCTCAGGGGTTAGGTCGCTCGCCTCGCAAGCGAGAGGACCCGAGTTCGATTCCCGGGCGGCTCAGGTCAGGACAAAACCTGAGGCAAGTTTCCTTACTCCACACACACACACAGACAGACACAAACAGGCAGACACACACACGCCTCTGTTTAACCTTAAAATAAATTAATTTATTAAAATAAATTAATTTACTTTGATGATAATAATGACTTGGTCACTCCAATCCACGACTGTTTGTGGGACGCTGCCGTGCGCAATTGGCTGCCGCGTTTCGCCCGCAAAATACGCAGTCACTACACTTTACGGTATAATCTGCTTTGAGACGTCTCGAAGCACTATGTCAAACGCGAGGATTATTATCATTATCAGCCTTTATATGGGACACATCAATAGGCAAACACACCCATTAATATTAGACGCCATCCTAATCAGTTAAGTTTAAAAATGTCAACACAAATGAATCATTATTGCTGCCCCGACATGACCTCCTGATTTATCTACTCTTCCCACCCATCTCACAGTCTGCCAGCAATCAGTTTGCGTTTGCCTGCCTTTCAGCTTCTAAATATAAATTTGCTTTGTGCAACGCTGATTTTCTTACCCGTTGATGTATGGGTTTTGGTACTGATGCCGATCTCTGTTCTCTCCCCACACGCTCACACGTGCATATCAAACATACCCGCACGCCACACTCACATGGACACGCACATGCGCACGCACATACACACTCACACGCGTATACATAGGGGCACTCGCACGTACATGCATAACACACGCACAAATCTTGAGGCACCGCATTGGTGGGGGGGGGGGTGTTGAGTGCAAATTGGCTGCCACGTTTCGCCCACGGAACCACAGTCACTACACTTTACAGTATATCCCGTGAAGCGCTTTGAGACGTCCCCCTGCAGGGGCTGCACCAAATGCAAGGATTCTCACTCTCCTTATCATCCAGGTCACGTTATGGTGAATGGACCAACCACCCCCATCCCTGTCAAAGCCAAGCCCTCCTCTGTGGATCCCATCATCCCCAAGATACCACTGGGTAAGTAAGTGCTTCACCTCTCCCTGCCCCTCCTCTCTCGCTCTCGCTCTACCTTTCTCTCTCTCTTTCTCTTTTTTTTTCTCTCTCTGGTCAGGTGTGTGCCACTGGGTAACCTCCCTCTCCCTCCCTCCCTCCCTCCCTCCCTCGCTCTCCCTCTCTCTCTCTGAACCACAGCATTGGATGAGCAGAACTTTCCCTCTCAGTAAACGTTAATGGTGGATGTACACACTGCGCCTTCGGGAGATGGAAGGCAGATCCTGCAGCTAATCTCACTCATCAAAAAAAAAAAATGCGGTCGCTCAACCCACGACTGTTTGTGGGGACGTCGCTGTGCGCAATTGGCTGCCGTGTTTCGCCCACAAAATACAGTCAATTCACTTTTCAGTGTATCCTGTGAAGCGCTTTGAGACATCTCGAAGACGTGATCAGGCGCCGTATCAAATGCGGGGATGATCATTAGTAGCAGCAGCAATGTTGCTGTATCCAGGGCCACTGTTAATAATATTGGCCAGATTATTCTGTGCGGTGTTTATGATTGTGGTGACTTATTATCCATGTCATTGTTTAAGGCGCCGTGTAAGCCAGGCATTAAATGACCAAAAATTTCATTAACTCTTCCCAACTCACGAGCGTTGAATCCATTTAAGGAGCTGGCGTAACCAATGCCAAGCCTGTGCCACTCTCCCTAGGGTCCTGGACATTACAATACTAACAACAACCACTTTGTTTTGTGCACTGGAGCGAGTGGGAGGCTTTCACTCATCGCCGGCTCGGCCCACATTCACCTCCACCGCGACACCGCGGAGTTTACAGAATGTTCACGTGTCATTGAGACGACAACAACTTGCATTTACACCGCGTCCCAGAGCGCGGGACAGTGCCTGAGCAGCACAGCGAGCCCGGGGGGAGGGGGAGGTGACCGCAAGCGCGGTCAGAGAGCAAGGTCTTCAGGCGCGGCCTGAAGATGGGGAAGGAAAGGAGGGGGCAAGGCAGCGGGAGGGATAGAGGGAGAGAGTTTCAGGATGTAGTGTCACTAATGAGCCATCCAAAAAAAACTGTTGACTCAATCCACGACTGTTGTGGGGCACTGCTGTGCGCAATTGGCTGCCACGTTTCGCCCACAGAATACACAGTCACTACACCTTGCAGCATATTCCGTGAAGCGCTCTGAGACGTCTCATTGACGTGATAAGGCGCTGGGTCAAGTGCAAGGATTATTATTGTCACCTTCAAAAAAAAAAACAGAGTCCAAAACAGGGAGAAGAGGTTCAACGCTGAGACACAATTAGGCAAAATGCACAGTCACTGCACCTTACAGTGCGTCTGCTTTTGAGACCTCCGGCCGTCAGTCAGTCTGTCAATCAGGGCTCCCAGCGGTGCTGGTTGAGAACGGTAGAAATAGCTGAACTCCGCAGCCTTGAAACCTCCTCTGAGCCTCAAAGTCTCCGCTGGGGACTTTGTACGGTGAGATGAGAAGCGCCGCACAGCGCAGGGAGGCTCCGAGGTAAGGACAGGGAAGCTCGTGTGAGTCCCTTCCCTGAGCCGCTGCTATAACCTGCTCCGGAACGCGAGCACGCAGTGGAACGAGGCAATTAATTCGCACAGTTTCCATTGTCTATCGGAGATAAATGTATTTAAGTGGTGTCCTTCCTGAGAGAGGGGAGCACTTCATTCAGTCGTGTGAGAGGGAGGGCGGGGCAGCGAGCACAAAGGAGGTTTGATCCGTCGTGTCTGTGCTGGCGCTCGCTCCCCCGCTGAAGCCTCTCCTTAAACCCCACGTGCTGCGACGTCGAGGTTAATTTATACCCGTTGAGTTTCAACTCAGGACCACACGGAAGCGAGACACACTATGTTGAAAAGACGTTCTTAGCACATAATTACAGTCACTCGGCTGACACCATTAATCTTCTCCTCTCTTCCGTCGGTTCCTACCTGTTGCTTTCAATGTATTCTGGCACCAGAATGAGTTTAATCCAAGAGAATAATATCGCGGAGGATATTATCATCTTACCAGTTCCCTGCTTCGGCCTCAGTTAGTTCAGACCTTTTACTCTCGTCGGCCTCTGATTGTGGAGGCCCACGGTGCAGTAGTTAGCCCACTCGGCTCGGACGCGGGAGAGCGCGGGTTCGATTCCCAGCAGAACGAAATCTTTCCTCACTCCCCACACGCGCACACACGGCTCTGGTTACCAGCAGGAAGTAGGAGCCCGGTTGTCAGTCGATTGGCGGATGGCGTTCCGGCGGTAACAATCCCTTCGAAAGATAAATGTGGTCACTCAATCCGCGACTGTTTGTGGGACGCTGCTGTGTGCAATCGGCTGCCGCGTTGCATCCGCAAAAATACACAGTCGCTACACTTTACAGTGCCTCCTGTGAAGCGCTTTGAGACGCCCCGACAACGTGATAAGACGCTGTGTCAAACGCCAGGATTATTATTGAGCGGACGGCTCACTCTGAGAACGGGTGCAGATTCGAGGGGCTGAATGGCCTCCTCCTGCCCTGGACATGTCTGTATGTGTTGGGTCAGCGCTCCTCTGTGTTTCCTGGCCTGGTTAATAATAAATAACAATCCTCGCATTTCACACAGCGCCTGATCACGTCTTCCAGACCTCACAAAGCGCTTCACAGGATACACCGTAAAGTGAATTGACTATATTTTGTGGGCGAAACGCGGCAGCCAATTGCGCACAGCAGCGTCGCACAAACAGCCGTGGGTCGAGTGTCCAAATTACTTTCATTTATTTTTGAAGGGATTGTTATGCCCGGAAACCAATCCGCCAGCCGACTAACAAGCGGTTAACAGAGGAGCGTGTGTGTGTGTGTGTGTGTGTGTGTGCGTGCGTGCGTGCGCGTGTTTGTGCCTGTGTGTGTGTGTCTGTTTGTGTGTGTGCGTGTGTGCCTGTGTGTGTCTACGTGTGCGCGTGCGGAGTAAGGAAACTTGCCGAAGGTTTCTCTGCCCGCCCGGGAATCAAACCCAAGTCCTCTGGCCTGCGAGCCGAGCGCTGTGAGCACTGAGCTTGTTTAGTTCTGTTGTTCCAGATGGTTTGTTTACCGGCCACCAGCCCTGACCGTGGCGCTGACTGACCCCGACTCGCGGCTAAAACAACAACTCAAGCAATGTGTAACTTCATTTAAATGCTTGGCTGGAATTTTCACTCCAGCTTCGCTGCCAGACAAACGCTGCCCGACAAGCGCAAAGCTCTGTGCTTTCCTGACATCTCAGTGCTCGTAGTGGTGTCAAACCCTCGTTTGCTATACATCTCTCCCTCTCTCTCTCTCTCAATACATATAGCTGCTGACATATGCACGTGGGCGTATATGGGAGCGTGTGAGTGCGTTACACGCACGTGTATTACGCAGTGCGTGTGTGCACATCCTTGCATTTGCTACAGCGCCTGATCACGCTTCACAGAATGCACTGTAAAGTGTAGTGACTGTGCATTCTGTGGGCGAAACACGGCAGCCAATCGCGCACGGCAGCGTCCCACAAACTCACTCCCCAAACTCACTTACCCTCTGTGAAGCGCTTTGAGCGTATATCAAATGCGATGGTTATTATTATGGTCCCCCCACCCCCCCCCCCCCGCCCCCCGGCTTGGCGTCAGGCTCCGAAAGGCTGCCCTGTGGGAAAGGCGTTGTCGTTGTTGTTGTGCGAGAGGCTGGGAGGGAGAGGGTTAAGGGATGATTCAGAGTCAGAGCACAGGAAGACCTGAGCCACATGTTGGGGGTCCGACAGCGGGCGGTGAGCTGCGGAGAGGGAGGTTTCAGTCAAGTGTCTGGTGTTACATTATTCATGTAAAGTACATAATTGCTTTGCTCAGAACACGGCTCTCTCCCGCGCCTCACACTCCGTGTGTACCGTAATGAGGAGGAAGCTGGTGTTAAAGAGAGCAGTCTCTCGAGAGGACGTATAACAGTGAGACTCGATTCTCCCGGCCCCCTCCCTACAATTAGCACCCACTGCCTTTGCCTGCAGGGGCACAGTCACTACACTTGGCAGCGATCGACATGCTTTTGAGTTGCGGTGAAGTTGGCAAACAGCACGCATCATAACAATGGTGATGATAATCCCGGCCTTTGACACAGAGCCTTATCACATCGTCGAGGCGTCTCAAAGCGCTTCACAAGATATACTGTAAAGTGTAGTGACTGTATTTTGTGGGCGAAACGCGGCAGCCGATTGCACACACCGACGTCCCACACACAGTCGTGGTTTGAGTGACCACATTTTTTGATGGGACTATTACCCCCCCTCCCCCCGTAAAGGTGACTTACAACTGATTACTCGCTGCTGGTAAACAGAGGCTCGTGTGTGTGTGTGTGTGCGTCGAGGATGGAAACTGCTGAAGGTTTCGCCCTGACCCGCCCGGGAAACATTAGGTTTCCTATGAGACGCCTCGAAGACATGATAAGGCGCTGTATCAAATGCAAGGCTTATTATTATTATTATTATTATTATTTTAAAGGAAAGAAACAGGAAAGAGATTGCTGAGCAAGTGCCAGGCTGCATGTTCCGCATTGTGATGACCTGGAACTAAAGCCATTACAATCGCATTTCACTTTCATTTATTCCAGTCAAACCTTTTGCCATCCCCCCCCCCACTCCCCCCCCCCTCCCCGCCATCTCTCCCTGATGTGTTCATTACCCTGTGTCCGTCCTCTGTCACAGACACACGTATTCCGTTGCATTTGATCCAAAATTTCACCCTTATCCTCCCCCACACCACACGCCAAATCACATCAGCCTGGTTTACACAGCGCCCCTCACCCAGGGCAGCCTCCCCGAGGGCTTGACAGAGGCGGGGGGGGGGGGGGGCGGGGAGGGAGGGGGGAGGTGACCGCAGGCGCAGTTGAGTAGGAAGGTCCTAGGCACGACCTGAAGATGGGGAAGGATGGGACAAGGAGGAGGGATAGAGGAAGAGGGTTCCAGAGTTTTGGGGCACTGTGGCTGAAAGCCAAACCCTAACTAACTAACTAACTAACTAGCGGGGAGTTGGGGT